TGTAGATGTGTTCGTTCATGTAGCATAAAGTGATTTTGTAAGATTAGAAACACTTATTCTGATTTCTAAATGTTTCCTAGTGCCAGTTTGAAGTTTATGCAGTTTTCAGTGTATAACCGTGTTGGAACTACTACCTATCCATATATATATATATATATATGTAGTTTAGTTCCACACTCTAAAGAAACTGTGTTCCCAACAAGATAGGTCATTGACCGATTGCACGCACATTCAACTCTCAGAATTGAGCATGTGGAGACGCGTTCATTAATGTAGCATAAAGGGATTAAGGAGCCATAGAAACACTTAATGTGATTTCTCAGTATGTTTCTTAGTGTCAGTTTCAAGTTCATGCAGTTTTCTCTGTAAAACCGTGTTGGAGCTAGTACCTCCCCATATATATGTATGTTGTGTATTTTCCCACTGAAAAGAAACTGTGTTTTCCCAACAAGCTAGGTGATTGACGGCTTTCACACACATTCAGCTGTCAAAATTGAACATGTGGAGAGGCGTTCGTTCATCTAGCATAAATGGAATTTGAAAGCATTGATCATGACCTATGTTGGAAGGAAAAGAGTAAAGGGAACATTACTTTAGAGCTTTTATAGTTATGGTCAGCATACATGACAGAATTTCATTTTCAGCAGTAGATTTCTTTTTTTTAAGGCTCAGAAAACTTAATTCTTTCTTGTAACTGGACATAGATATTGAATGTCTAAAAGTGTTCGAGCAACTGCTTTAAAGTAGAAATGTTACTTTGCTTTTGGTCTTTAACATAAGGGAATATTCAGAATTCCAGGGGCAGTTCAAAAGCAAGGGCCTGAACCTTGTCTATTACTTGTTTTAAGTACAGTAAGAATAACTGTATACTAGGGTACTGTGGATAACTGAAAGGCTGCTTGGTTATGTTATATGTAAGTTATATTTTAAAAAATTATAGATATGAAAATCATTCAACCTTGGAGAACTATTTGGCATAATTCAATCTTTAATAATGTAGATTTAGATAGCCCATTTGTTTATGTAACTCTTATGAAAATAAGTTGGCTTTTTATAATTCCTTTGT